ATATTTCGATGGGCAGGAGCTCTGGGACCAGGATGCCGACGTAACTCGTTCGAGAGAATTTCAACAAGGATGATAGGTCCTTAAAAGAATTTGTCGTGGCAGTTACATCTTGCGAGATTTCGCTGGTGACCGGAGACGGGGTGATGCGGAATGTAGCCATCCGGGCAGGCCCCATTTAAGAATAACGTTACAAACCAGACCGAGGCGTCGATCCCTCTGATGTAAGGAGATCGGTAGAACTCGTCCTCAAGGGCAAAAACATTGATTACGCTTTTGCTAGTTCCCGTTATGATTTGAATGGACCAAAAAGCTGTCAAAACGCCATCACGATTCTTAAGGGAGTCCGTTTCGTTTCACATCCCGGATGGGAACATGAACGGGATTTCCTTGTTTCCCGACAAAATTTCGTCGTTACGTTTCACCCATTAGACCTACGAGGGAACTAAATGGCCCCCAATGACCTAGTGAATAACTTTTTGAAGAAAAACTGAGGGAAATCGATTCATTTCCTTCTTCATACGTATCTCTCTATTATATTCTTCGTACTGCGACGGAATGACGTTTACTGCAGGTCATTTCTTCATTTCCTTTTTCTGTTCCCGTTCCTGAAACAATTTTCCAAGATGAATGAACCGTATTCCCGTTTCTCATTTCCAATTCCGCCTTCAATGCCATTTATGGAAACGCTGTCATTTCGTGTTCAGATAATTCGTGTGCATTTTACGACGTCACGACAGCAACAATTATCGCTGTCGTCGACTGACGTGTGGCTGTGTGAGAAGTTTTAAACTGGAATGTTTCCCCGCTTCCGAGTACACCCCCTTTAGATTAAAGCTGGTCCATTTCGCAGAGAAACGTGCAAGCACGTCGATTGCACGAAACTCTTTCACAAGTTATGGGCGTCGAGGCGTAGATTTCATCCTTTTCTGTCTGGTTTGCGTGGGATCGGGTAAAATACCCGGGCGACAGATGTCATTCTTCAACAGAAATCTCACGAGATTTGACGGCTCGTGAGCGATTATACTTTCCGGATGTTTGTCGCTCGATAAAATATGTTAATAGGGCCGTAACTGGTACAGATCAGCGACCGAAATCTTTCTGACGAGCTGCTTCTCTTCTTCATTCCATTTCTTGGTACCTTCTTCTTGTCTTGGGATTCATCTTCCTTGTCGAAAGCCTTGAAATGAGACCATCCGTTTTCCTTTCTATTATTCACAAGTATTCTGCACCATAATTCCATAATTCCTCATTAGGGCGGAGTCTGAGTGATACGCTACCATATACAGATCTGGGGATAACTTACCCCGGATGGTCTGGGGGTCATCTTGAATCAGGCCCACCGATTCTGTTGCCTTTTCCAGAACCTTTTAGTACTGTAAGACCTATCAAGATCCTGACTCCTAATTCCTATATCATGTGCTCCGTATATAACCGAAATCGATCTCCGTTGGTGAACATTCTTGTGAAGAACGATCCTTTTGTTTATTTATTTAGTTGTTTGTTATTGCGCCAATGGCACTCAAACCTCGCTAGGATCATATTTATTTGTTCAGTCGTTTACTGTAGTACCTACGTTGTGCCATTCATTAGATCGGCAGAGAAATCATGGTAGTACACAAAGACACGGTCGGAAAAAATATAA